TGTGTACATGAAATGGATGCAAATTATCTCTCATGTTTTTGGATGAATATTTTCTGTGGACATTAAAGGTTTTATTTACACGAGCAAGAACAATGTTTTCTGTGGACATTGAAGGTTTGATTTACACGAGCAAGAACAATATCTTCTACACAGCTATTCAGTTGTTTTAATAATCTGTTCAAAAACAGATGTTTTCGTTAGTGATACCCCAATCTGGCTATGTTAACTCCTACATAAGAATTCGTTACTGATGCTCCAACCAGGCTGCGTTATCTCCTACATAAATGTTCGTTACTGATTCTTCAATCTGGCCATGTTAGCTCCTACATAAACATTCGTTACTAATGCTTCAATCTGGCTATGTTAGCTCCTACATAGACATTCGCTACTGATGCTACAATCTGATTACGATATTCAAACAAATTGGGTTCTTTCTCTTTCTTCTTTCTCATCTGAAACAATCGTAAGATCAGAAATTATGATACAAAATTCGTGATCTAACATTACCAATTAGATAAATTAGTAATGTAAAAACGAAGTTAAGATCCATTATTACGGAATAACAAGTTTCGATACTTTCACGCAACCTCTTCACTCCAACTGAAAACAGAAGTTGGACTAAAGAGGGCGCATGAGAGTGTTGAAACTTGTTGTTCCGTTATGTGGGTCTTAACTTCGTTTTAAATTAGTTTACTTGGTATCGTCTAATGTTTAATGCATGTTACGGGTACTTTTGCACATGACGAAAACTTCGTGTGTAGAGGCCTAAAATAATGGAATGAGGCAAAATCTTCACTATTGTATTTTCGGTTCTGCTCATTTTCCATATAAAACGTGTCCTAGTATTTTTGGATTGTTTAATCTTTTATCGTTTACTTCATGAAGCTCCTATTCTGGAGAGACTACTTATAGTTTTGTACCATGAACTCTTATTATGATGTAACTTATAATTCAGTCGCTAGTTAATTTGCCAGTGACCCAAATAGTTATCTAGGGCACAGTACTTTAAACATTTCTGCTGCTAAACCTTGAAGGACTAGTAACTTGCTACTTACATTTTTAAGCCTTAAAAATATAATACGTTACAGTCCCCGGTCGGTAATTTTTTATATTACTGCTTTGCACAACACAATAAATTATCTTAAGGTTGTAAAGCAGTAGAGGTTGCCTTGAAGTAAACTGTAGTAAGTATGACTTTTAATAAAGGTTCTAAAGCTTTCTTGAAAGAACGTATAGTAAATATGCCTTTTAATGAAGATTGTAAAGCGCCCTTGAAGAAACCTGTATTAATTGTGACTTTTAGTGAAAGTTCTAAAGCTGCCTTGAAGGAACCTGTATTAAATATTTCTTTTAATGAAGATTGTAAAGCTGTCTTGAAAGAACTTGTATTAGTTGTGACTTTTAGTGAAAGTTCTAAAGCTGCCTTGAAGGAACCTGTATTAAATATTACTTTTAATGAAGATTGTAAAGCTGTCGTGAAGGAACTTGTATTAAGTACGATTTTTAGTGAAGGTTGTAAAGTTGCCTTGAAGGAACCTGTGTTAAATATTACTTTTAATGAAGATTGTAAAGCTGTCTTGAAAGAACTTGTATCAATTGTGACTTTTAGTGAAGGTTGTAAAGTTGCCTTGAAGGAACCTGTTTTAAATATTCATTTTAATGAAGATTGTAAAGCTGTCGTGAAGGAACTTGTATTAAGTACGATTTTTAGTGAAGCTTGTAAAGTTGCCTTGAAAGAACCTGTATTAAATATTACTTTTAATGAAAGTTGTAAAGCTGTCGTGAAGGAACTTGTATTAAGTACGATTTTTAGTGAAGCTTGTAAAGTTGCCTTGAAGGAACCTGTATTAAATATTACTTTTTAATGAAAGTCGTAAAGCTGTCGTGAAGGAACTTGTATTAATTGTGACTTTTAGTGATGTTAAAACAGAAACATGTCACTTTCATAAAAAATGGTTGGTTCAAAAGCACATGTCACACCTTTGAATATGCTAGTGAGGTGTTTTGATTATCAAAATAGGTACTTTATGCATACACGTGGTGCTATTATGTCTAATTATGCAAGTAGAAACTTGTGGTTCACGTTCTGTTGAATCCTGCAAATTAAATACGAAACAAGGACATAACTGCCTGAAATTAGAGAAATAAGTCAAGAAACAACTTTCTTAGGTAAGAAGAGATTCTGAACAAACTCAAATGTGTCATGAGTAACTTAAGTTATTAGGTTGTTATAAACACCGGTTGGATACAGAAACATTTGAGTTGTGTAGCTTTATGGCTGTAATCAAGTTATTAACTGCTATTTTTTGGTTTCCCGATTTTTAAAGTTTTTTAATGCAGTAAGTGAAAAATGATATCAGGTAGTCCTGGCATAATTTTTTTCGTCAAAATACACGCTTCTCTACTAAAAGTATGTTCTTTTAGAGCAGCTTATAGGTTGTTCTTTCTGCCAAAAACGATTTCATGTCAAATTGTTTACTTACTGTAAAAACACCACCTTGTACAATCATTGTTTTAATATTTGTAAACATTAGGTTTCATACCAGTGTTATTTTAATGTGTTATAACGGACTGGTTTAATTTTTCGATCTCAATTTTACCAAACTATTAATTTACACGATTCGTGCAGAATAAAAAGTAAGATCTTCAAGTTTGAGAATTCCAAACTGTTATTAAAAGTTTGTTCTGAGGAAGCGAAGTTAGTGAGAATTTTTTTTTTATAAAACTTGTCAAACTATAACTGCATGAGTGTAAGTTTGAGGCAATATATTTAAGTCCTCTTTGATAAGCGTACGTAAACCATCATTAGACTAGGATGTGATTCTAAAAGCTTCAATTTATCCAACATATTATCAGTAATGCCAATTTAAAGACCTCAAATAATTGGGTAGTTTGTTCATATGACCATACTCATTCCTAATGACAAAACAGTTTCCTTAATCTGGATGATTGATAACTATTTAATAATCTTATAATTACAAAAAGAAATTTAAAACCGTTCGTTAACTTGAGAAATGTAATTTGAAAATTAGTGTAAAGCAAGCTAAGCTCGAAATAAGTTAAATTTAGAAATGTAATTTGAAAATCAATGTAAAGTTAAGCTAAGCTCGAAATAAGTTAAATTTAGAAATGTAATTTGAAAATC